TCATTGTTAAGTATGACTACCTTGTTTGCATCTCTTTGTTAAGAAATATATGATTATTTTGTTTTTATTATTTATTAAGGGTAGAATAGTCTTTTAAGTTGTCTTTATTTTAGACTATATATAGTCTCTTTATATCTAGGTTTTCATCATTCAATTACATTATGCAGAATGAATAAAACCCTAGCCTCTTTTTCTCTTTCTCTCTGGATTGTTTAACAAAATGATCCTGTTTGTTGTAATTAATATGTGTTTTCGTGCATTCAAATAATATTAAATCAACTTCATTTCTGTCAAGATTCCTTATGCTTCAAGAAAAGTAGTGTATCACGTCACTGAGATCCAATTTTTCTACTTCAAATGCTTGCATTATGCGTTAACAACAAAATATGCAAAGCTTGTCCCGTTTCTGTCTCAGATTCTTGGAGCATGAAACTCGTGTGCAATAATATTTATTTCAGTTTCCAGTGGTGATGAGACATAGGATATGCAACATATTCTTTATGTTTACTACCATTCCGCTCTCTATATATACTTGGTGCTAAAGGTAGGTCTCAAACATCTTTCCTCAAAACTCAATTTCGAAAAGTCTTAAAAACCATCCATTTCATTAAAGAAAGATGTCTTTCCATGTTAGATCAAACAGTTCTCCATCTAAATCTCATCCAGAAATAGCCAATGTTGAAGACCATATCTGCAGGCTAAGGTCCTCAGAAGAAGCATCCTTTTCAGCTTCTTCCATATGCACACAAATGGCCAGCCTCAGAGATTCACATGAAGTTATTAATAATTTGATTCAGCTTCCATCTATCCAACAAACCCTTATGGATCAGGCCAATGAGTTGATTGATGGATCTCTGGAGCTTATCGACATATGTGGAATTGCTCGAGATGTTATATTATTGATGAAGGAATCTGTTGAAGAACTCGAATCATCTTTGAGAAGAAATAGAGGCATTGATACATATGTGAATTCAAGGAAAAAAATCGAGAAAATGGTTAAAAAGTGCATAAAAAATCTGAAGACTTTCGACCAATGTTCTACATTGTTCTTAAACAAAGACAACAATCTTAAAGCTGTTGCAAGCATGCTAAAAGAAGCATTGGCCATTGGCTTCTCTGTGCTCAAGTCAACATTGTCAATTTTTGCATCAAAGCAAAAGGCTTGGTCACTGGTTTCCATGTTTAGTCGGTTAAGCCGTGTACATTCACATATAGAAGAAGAATTGTATGCCTTGAACATCAACAAGTTGAGAAAAGACATGGACACATTATCTGTGCAAAGTGTCATGATGCAGTTAAAA